TTCATCGGCACAGATTCAAGTGGGGTATTTGTATTTTCCGTTCTGAAGCATGAAAGATGGTGTTTTAAAAAACATTTTAGGCCTAGATCTAGGAAGAAAGGCAAAATCTTGCAACTGGAGCAACGCGATAAATGGGAGATCAAGTCCTTTATATTTTCAGGAAGGATATTCTGTCTTGGAAATTTCGATACGAATTGATTGTTTGATTCCAGCTTTGAAACGTTGGTTTGGATAGCCAAATGTTTTAGCGGACACGCGTTAATAGTAACAGTGGTCCAGTGGTTTGGTTCGTCGTAGAGTCTCGGGAACTGTTTGAAGAATATTTATGTTATTAGTCTTAGGAACAGCTCAGACTTGCTGTACTGGGGCCATTGCTTTGTGACGTAAAAGTCATGACATGAAAATTTGTTTGTGGCAGGGATGGAGCGGCTGCATTGCACTTGCAAAATAAACTTATTTATTTGCGAAGAGTGAGTAGGTATTTTCACGATCGCAAGAAAAGGTGTCTCTACAGGATTCTTTGAACTGAAATTGATCTAGCGCCTGACTAACTGTTTACAGGGGATTTTGAAGAAGCTCAGAGTCTGCAGATTTGAACCTACTCTCCCGGGAGCTTTCAGAAGACTGATAGGGAAAGCCGATAAGTGGTTGACGCAGGAGGATATTCTGTCTTGGAAATTTCGATACGAATTGATTGTTTGATTCTGGAGAAGTGAGCTAGTTTCTCGTGTCAAGTTTTGAAACCGTGTATTGTTCTTTTGTTGAACGCCGCCCAGGAAAAGTGTGTTCTCGAAAAAAAAAAACCCCACACTTTGCGGTCTAATGGATGGATTTGGAAGACATTCTCTTTTGGAAATCTCTATACGCCTGTCGGGGTGAATTGACTGATTGGTTTTGGAGAATCTAGAGTCTTGTGTCAAGTTAGACATATCTTGTTGTTCTTTGGTAAAACGCTTATAACAAGGAAACGAGTGTCCCGGAAGAAAGACTTTGTCTCGGAGTCGCATCTCCCTCCCCGAAGCCTGCCAGGATGCCTGTCCGAGAGCGTGGGAGGTCACGAGCGGTCAGTCGTACCGGGGGGTCACGCTCACCGTCACGCGCGCGATCTCGGTCCCGCTCCACGCCGGGGTCAGGGTCAGGGTCACAGTCCGTGTTGCGAGCGCAGACGGCGGCGGCGACGGACCTGGCGCGGAGGATTTACAGGAAGACCATCAAGACTGTGTTCAACGGGTACCGCTATTTCTCCTACAGGAACGCCAAAAAGCAGGTGATGCACATGCGTGTCCGATCCCGGGATTGTTGCTTATACCGGGTGCCCATTGCGGATGGGATCAGGTCGGGTCGGGTCGGGTCGACTCGTCATCTGAAAACAAACGGGTTTGTTTTTGAGGCGACGAGTCGGGCGATCGGTTTGTGCCACGATAGCCGTTTTGCGCTCTCAGTGTGGCAAGCAACCCGACACGACCCGATCGTGCTAATGGGCACCCGGTATAACAGTTGTTGCTCGAATGTGTGTGCCAGCCCCTCCGTTCTCTTCAGACTTCTGTTGATTTTGAGCTACCGGTACATCATCTATAGCTGAACCTGCTCAAACGACCACCTGTTCAGACAACTACTCTTCCACACA